TTGGTCATGTGATCTATTGTTTAATGACAAACATTCCCTATAACTCCATGGTTGCACTTACAAGTCTTTTAGACTATGCATGCATTCATTCCTTCTGACTTTTATGTGTTTGAATAAGAAAAAGCTTTGTCAACTTCAGTGTATGCATGATCAGATATATGTGTCTGCTATAGTAAAACTGTTCCCAATCAGACAAGTTTGACCCAACTCTTGAGACCTACATCGGGTACCCAGGTAGGGTCGGGTAATAGGGGGTCGGGTACCTGAGTATTAAATTTGACAATCACTGGATTGTCTGATCCAAACTTGATTGTTTTCCAGACCGCCGGCATACAGCTGGAATATTGCCCATACTGGGCCACTGGTCACATAGGGTTAAGTCATATGGAGTATACAAGTAACCCGCCACTGGTCATAGGGTTAACTCATATGGTGTATACATGTAACGAATCATACAAACCGCAATAGACATTTAAACCTATTCCACCAAATTTGGATCTGAAAAAATTCTTCAGATGACCAACACAATTACCGAGGGTAGACATGACACGCAGCATTTTGACAACCAGCGTCTGGCTTGTGTACGAATCAGAACCGATTTCCATACTACCAATGCCTGGTGCCAACCATTGTAAACACAGCTCTCTATCTCACCCGTGCTCCAAGCAGGGAGAATGTCCAGGGCAGGGGAACTCAAGCTCCGTAATACCCAGTAAGTTTGTTATTGCAAGGAAACTAGATTGGGCCCAGCTTCATGTAATACAATTTACAGTTACGAAGAGCTAACTTCTTCGAGAGTATTACCGAATTACGACAAATTTCCTCCCAACTTCATGCCTGAAGATTAGTTTTTATCTCAGATGTTTTTTCATGCTCTTGGCACAAGACTGGCCCTTTGCCACGACGTCGATGCAGTCGTGTCGATATCTTGCGCCATTTCCTCAAGACAAACCTCCAGTCAGATGGCGGTTTTACCGACGCCGCCTGTATCATACGCTCAAATGGACTAGAGACGAGTTGGTGTGAGAAGGTTGTGATTTACCTCGCTGTTAGCTGTAATGAATGAGAATGCAAACACACCAAACAATCATTTGATTTAAGTTACAATGTGACGCGGTCACACACACACACACACGTACTGGTCCTAGGCCTCCTTACCTTCAGGCTGGAAAGAAGCATCATTCATTAAAGTGAGAATGTATTCAATAATTCCTGTTTGGAAGTTTGAATGTAAAATGGGGTGATTGTTTTACTCCTTTGTTTAAAAAATCAAGACAATCCATGAAATTGAAGCACATTTATAAGACTTATTCAGTAATGCCTTCGAAAGGACATTGTAACCTTAAATTATGAAGCCATGGAACCCCGATTCCTCTAATTACTGTCTTGAAAGGTCCCGACTTCAACACGATTATTTCTTGAAACAGGATACTTTCTGACTTCAGAGAATCATCCAACTAAATATTTCACGGAATATATTTGCTGACAATGTTATTTCCCTAATTTGGAGTCACCCATGGACTTTTTGTTGGTATTCAGGGATGAAAATACTGTAGGGCTTAGTGGGCCTTGTATATTATGACCAGCATGAAAAAATGAAATCGGGGGTGGGGGGGGGGGGGGACATTTTTTCCTTTTGACAAAAAAGATTTAGGACAGCTTTGTTTGGAATTAGGTGTTGTGCTAGGAACATGAAAGGGATGCAGTTTGTAGCTGTTTGAGGAATGAAAACACAACAAGTTAAAAACTCTTGGCTCCTGAAATGATGGAAGAGGCGGTAATTGAAACCCCGATCGACACACGTTGATTTTCTCCTGGATTCTGGCTGTAAATATTGGTGTCCAACCGCTGACTACCAACTCTAAGTCATTGTCCTGCTGAAGTCAAACATGATTTTTATTCTTAATGGGAAGTTAATTTGGAAGTTTAAATATTATATTATATTTTTTCCAACCGTATACCATAATCACCGTATTAAGCACCCTTCCCCAATAAACGTCCCTATAAACTTCTAGACCAATCTGAAAGTAACCTTTAATAAGTGCCCCCTTGGAAACAGAACGTTGACATGACAGTCCGTATCATCTTGTGTATGTGACACATTTTGTACAGAAAACAGTAGTGCGGAAGGGGAAAATAATTGCCAAGTAACTACTATCGATGAAGATAAAGGTTTGTTCATTTGAATAAGAATGCTAGTATTTGAATCAATATTGAACTAAACACAACTGGTGCTATGCAGTAATTAGTTTTCATCAATAAATATTTTGAAAATACACATTTTGATACAGAATTATATAAATCTTTTTGTGTTTGATTCAATTCTATATGACAACACATCGCATAAACAAGACCTAGCTATTTAAAAAAATATTTTCCCTCAATACGATGCCCAAATTTGAATGAGTCAATGACATAGGATTTGATGATTTTTCCATGGCTTATTCCTAAACTTTAGATTGTTGAAGATAGTGTAATATCTAATGCATGACTGATTGTCTGTGCGAACGTTTTCCTCTTACCATTTGGAGCTTTAATTTTTTTAACTCTTCAATGGCCATGGTGGCCCATGTGGTTTTATTTTTATTCAGGGAGAGTCAATGGATTTTTCCAATTCTTTTCATTCGTTTTGTCATATTTTCAAAACAATGATTTTGTTTGAACAACAAGAGGTGACAGAAATCTTTCGCAATAATTTTGATTTCGTTTTGACAATCTTGACAACCTAAGCAGAATAATAAAATAAGACTAGCATCCAATTTTGGTGCCTCCAAAAGACAGCTTTACATGGATAAAAATGATGACAAAATATAAGAACACTTTCAAAAGTTGAACTCAAGAATAAAATTCTTCATTAAAACAAACCAACATTTCGATTCAATCAGTATTAATTAATTGAGTCAGGACTTCAAGGTTCGTCCCATTATTGTCTGTTAATGTGCAAGAATGCACCCCAGTCAGCTAGTATTCTCGTATGGTCAACAATCGATGTGGAAATGCCAAATCTACTCAACTCCATCGTCTGAACACTTTCACCCTGGGCTGTCTTGCTATACCATTTATAAAAAAGCGTGGATTATCTATGTATCTGGCAGTACAGATACTTGTCGGCTGCCCTGGCTGTGTAGGGGAATGTCGAGCCAGATCGTCTGGCGTTTGACAACATCAGCGAACATCACTGACCAATCAATCGCATCCGTCATTCTGACTGAAACATATCTGTAGCTACGACCCTAAATTCACAGACTGGCCATATATATCCTTCGTAAATACTTACATTAATTTGAATTTTTTTCCTTCCCAGACGTCGAGGGACTTTTTTCATGGCCTTGATTGAATTCATCGTTGGCCCTTTTTTTTTTTAACATCTTTTGATTGATGAACTCAGTAGGTTTATTGAATCATGGTTGAAAGTTTTCTCCGTGCACTTGAAGCATTTGTTCTTGTTTTTGAAAATTGTTCAAAAACTGGGGAATCTCTATTTAGGTGTGATAATTTGTTCGCGTGGAATTAAAATTCATGTTATTTTGAGTTTATTATTGAATTAGACTGCATCTGTGGAAAAAGCGGAACTATTGAATGTCAACTGCTTTCCCCGGTGTGAAATTGATTATTTTGACTTGTTAAGATAATGAACCCGTTTCTTTGCTTACTGATAAAAATATGATTGTTCAGATATGTCTTTCCAAAATGTAACAATATGCCGATCTAGTGATAAGTACAAGTTAAGTTGTAATGAGTTTTCAACATTTTTGTACACATTGGAGAATAATGACAAACACTCAAACAGCTCTGCTTGGAGTAAAGGTTGTTCCTTGAGAAACAGTCACTGGGAAGCTGGGAGCAGAGCTCCAGACAACCTGAATCTACCTGACGGAATTTGTTAAGAGTTGTTTGCGTATAAATACGCATTATCAATTTCAAAACCCCAATAGCATGACTGCGACGTGCGTAATTAGCCATGGTGATCTTTTCATCTTAAGTAAATAGTTTCCTTTCGGATCTGTAGTAATCGAGAGATTGCAGTCTTCACAGACATAACTCCACTGCAGTGTATAATGATTATTGTAACTTAAGACATATATATCATTGTTTCGAACTTACGTGACATGCGAAACACTTTGGTCAGCACATGAACTGATGCATTTTTGAAGGCACTTGGAACAGCGTCACAGCAGGGATTCCGGGTTGGAATTGGTCAGCAGCAGGCTGTGCTGGTCGTAAGTGTCAGGTGATGCATCAGGTGGTCAGGCACAGTGCGGGTGGCATGTCATCATACTCCGATGGTGTATAGCAATGCTGAATTTTCTGGTCCAGATTTGCTTTGTTCCAGGCCGCCATCATTTAGCTGGAATATTGCTGAGTGCAGTGTTAAACAAACAAACATAGGTCATCTGGCTATTTTCCATCAAATGTTAGATATGAGCTGTGGACTGGTACTAGTCAGAAATGAGCTGTTAATTGTTATATGTGCTGTGGACTAGTTGTATTTGAGCTGTGGACTAGTTGTATTTGAGCTGTGGACTAGTTGTATTTGAGCTGTGGACTAGTTGTATTCGAGCTGTGGACTTGTTGTATTCGAGCTGTGAACTAGTTGTATTTGAGCTATGGACTAGTTGTATTCGAGCTGTAGACTAGTTGTATTCGAGCTGTGGACTAGTTGTATTTGAGCTGTGGACTAGTTGTATTCGAGCTGTTGACTAGTTGTATTCGAGCTGTGGACTAGTATTTGAGCTGTGGACTAGTTGTATTCGAGCTGTAGACTAGTTGTATTCGAGCTGTGGACTAGTTGTATTCGAGCTGTGGACTAGTTGTATTCGAGCTGTGGACTAGATAGATGTGACCAATGGTGTTATCCTCCCCTGCTTTTCTCTGTGTCCACTACGCTACCACTCACTGGGCCCATTCATGTGTGAGGGGCTATTACTATTAGTGCTATATTGGACACATATCACCCGCCTGGTATTATTACTAAACATCGTGCGTTGATGTTTTTCCAGACATCAGTGAGACGTGGTCACTGGGAAGCTGGTCCCGGCAGCTGGCGGAGGAGCATGGTCAGCAGAGGTACAATGGAAGACATCGTGCAATCGACACACTGGTTCGCTAATGAGGTGAAGAATGAATCACTTGACGGATGGACAGAGGAGAGGAGGAAAGACAGATGGGATTACTTGGTGGAGTTTGCAAGAGATGCAGGTACGTGACATCAGCTGGCTTCTTTTTTCATTGCAGTCTTGTTTTTGTAAATGACTTATCCATATGAGATGTTTTTTAGGTAGTTTTTTCAGCCTCAGATTCATCCATCCTTCATTCACACCTGTTCCCCACCCCTTTCCTCACTGTTTGCCTCATTCCCCACCCATTCCCCTCCCCAGTCCCAGTCTCAACCCATTCCCCCCACCCAAGTCTCGACCCATTTCCCCCCCCCCCCCCCCCCCCCCCAGATTCAGCCCATTCCCCACCCCAGATTCAGCCCATCCCCCACCCCAGTCTCAACCCATCCCCCCCCCCAGATTCAGCCCATTCCCCACCCCAGTCTTAGCCCATTCCCCACCTCAGTCTTAGCCCATTCCCCACCCCAGTCTCAACCCATCCCCCACCCCAGATTCAGCCCATTCCCCACCCCAGATTCAGACCATCCCCCACCCCAGTCTCAACCCATCCCCCACCCCAGTCTCAACCCATCCCCCACCCCAGTCTCATCCCATCCCCCACCCCAGTCTCAACCCATCCCCCCCCCCCAGATTCAGCCCATTCCCCACCCCAGTCTTAGCCCATTCCCCACCCCAGTCTCAACGCATCCCCCACCCCAGATTCAGCCCATTCCCCACCCCAGTCTTAACCCATTCCCCACCCCACCCTCAATCAAATTCCTACCTCACCCCACCCCACCCCATCCTCAACCCATCGCCTCCCTCAACTCATTTGCCACCCTTAACCCATTACCCACCCAACCCTCAACCAAATGACCACCACACCCTCAACCAATCCCCCACCCCACCCTGAACCCATGCCCCACCTCACCTTAACCCACTCCACCCTGAACCCATGCCCCACCCCATCCCACCCTCAACCCATTCCCCACCCCACCCTCAACCAAATGACCACACCCTCAACCCATTCCCCAATCCACTCTCAACCCATTCTCCACCCGAGACTCAACCCAAACCCCACCCTTTTTCTCCTTCAGCCCAACTAAACCCCACCCCAGCCTCAGTTCAACTCCACTCCAAAACCAAATCCAAATCATGCTCATTCTCATTCCCATTCTTGCCATCACCCCAGACATTCGAAGTATCTCCCCTCAACATTTGCTTTCATCTGCCCCTAACACTGTCAAACAAGAAGGAAAATCCATCATTGTTTTTTAAATGTAATTTTCACGTTTGATATCCAATCATGACTTTAAGCCATGTTATCAGTCGTGGCTTGAGTATGTAACAGTTTACGATGAAAGTTAAAAAAAACAACGTCTCGCCATCTTTGTGGATCTACATGATGAAGAGAGAAGGCAGCCAATATACTACCAACAATGTGTCAAATTCGGACGTCCAATAAACCGAAGGCCCTTCACCATTCAGACAAACAATCACTAGCTCCCTGCCGTAGCGTGGTGAGCTCTCCCTTACGCAGCACTAAATCTAGGACTAAGAAGCCGCTACACCGCAGTATTGGCTTAAATCTCCGACCTGGCACGTACCAATCACAACCAATTGCTGCTCCCTTTACCCCTCATTCTAGCGAAAAAACTGAAGACTTCTCCATCCTTGGCCCATTTGTCAGCTGCTGATCGTGTAAAGGCCGTTACGAGTATTTTGATGTGACGCCTTTTCGTTGTCAAACAAGCCATCACCAAGTAACAGTATTCTTAGACACGTTTTTTTTTCTTCTAAATAGCAGCCGCTCGGTAAGATTTTCACCCAACTTAAAACGTGAGCTATTGTTTGTACTGGGGGATAGGATGCAATGGCAGCGGTAATGGCTTTAAGTCGTTATCGGGCTAATGTGAACAGTCTCGACTCGAAGATTGATTTTACTGCCGGTTAGCCACTCTATAAGACATGGGAAGGAATTTGCCTATCCAGAATATCAGCCATGGCCCCAAGCAATCACACCCTATTTCAAATTACGATATTTCATTATACAGACGGACGAAAATAAGAAAGTTATTCCTGCAGAAATTAGAGTTGGTGGGACTGATGATATGTTTATGATTGAATGAAATTGTATTAACTAATCTGTTGGACGGCGAGGAGTAAAACATCAATATCTAGAATCGACTGTCTGTCAACCATATTTCTCTAATTCTGACCACCGATATACCAAGCTGATCAGATATTTAGGTGTTGTATAATGTTAGTTTTATAGGTCCGAGTCTCGTATCAACTAATAAAGTATTGTTTGTGAGTTTGTTTTACCAACGGACTAACAATTAGGCGACTGCTGTGCTTTGAAAGCTAGTATGAGAAAGTCAGGTCGAGAGGTATTAGAAATGGCAGTTAAGTAAATTAGTTTGGTTTTATATAGGTTTGAAAGGACCTCAAGAGGATAAGGGCTATTTGAAGGTCTGATTGGGTTTTTATTAATGTTTGTCTCGCTATGGATAGCTTATTAGTGGACACCAAGGAGTGCTCGCTCACTCACTCACTCACTCACTCACTCACTCACTCACTCACTCACTCACTCACTCACTCACTCACTCACTCACTCACTCACTCACTCACTCACTCACCCACCCACCCACCCACCCACCCACCCACCCAATTTTACAACAAAAATGAATTATGATAAAGGGGCCAGTTACTGGAAATTGTTATTCCACAACTTTACCAGCAAGACCCAAGCTATATTCATGGCAGTTTCAATTTCAGCTAGCGTTTTTCACTCACATGTAATATCACAATAATCAGCCAGCACAAGGCCAGCAGAGTGGAGATAGTGTTTGCTACCGCTTATTCAGTGTGAACGACCTGGCATGACCCACTTCCAAGACATACACTCATTTAGAATCTCAAGCATTGGGCAGTTTTAGCTGGGGTCACAATTTCAAGACCATTTCTAAATCAGATTTGTGCTGATTTCTACGAAGGCTTCACGACTGTGAACTGGCCATTCAAGTGTTTATGTATGGCCCACTGAACCTAGCAATTATCTTGGGGACACCGGCAGCCATTAGCCCATCGGCCAATATCAGGGTAATGAAAACAATAGCGGCCTTGTCAGCCGTCAAGTCTCATAGTCTGTTCTACATGTGCACATTGATGAGGGGGGCTACAGGTCAGGGTTAGGGTATGGGAGATGGGTGTATGTGTCTTCCAGGTATAGGTAGTAGCTGTAAGTTCACCATAACAAATAGAAATACAAGTTACGCAGGAACAGACTGGTTCACAGAAAAACTGCTACAATAGCGAAAGTTTTATTTTCAGAATATTTTCACTCGATGTTTTAATTCCCTGCTTGACCGAAAGCATTCTGATTAGACACTGGCTTCTGACAATCTCATCATAGGCTGTCTCAGTAACAAATCTACAAGTCAGGAAGGACAGGGAGTATGTGATATTGAGAACTGTCGGGAGCTCTCCGACAGTCTAATAGGGAGCTGGTTGACCAGTGATGGCATTAGTCCTGAATGGATCCACGAGGAATACGCAGACGACAAAAATGTGTTATTTATGCAAAACTAATCCATACTTGCATAAGGAGATATTTGTATTGAAAACAGCGTGTAATGTAAATCTTGTCCTAAGCTAAAGTGACAAGTACCTCGCCAGGATATTCTGGTATTGTGAAGCCATCGAGCCGAGACAGAAATTAACAGCAGTCCTGATGACAGAAATACTTAATGGAAATAAAAAGAGCTTGTAGAAAAAGGCGATTAGGGCGGAAATTGTTTACACCTGATATCATTATGGGATAATTGGACATCATCGAGATAAACAGAGTGGGCAGTCTGAGAACACTTGTAATGGTGGCTGGATGAGGTGGATGAAGACCAGGATGGAGTGGGGTGGATGGGGCTGACACTAACCTTGGGATATATCTGTTTGTGTTCGGGTGCATGGTGGGACACATGTTTGAGGTGCATGCTGGGACACATGTTTGAGATGCATGGTGGGAGACATGTTTGAGTTGCATGGTGGAAGAGCATGGTGGGAGACATGTTTGAGATGCATGGTGGGGAGACATGTTTGAGGTGCATGGTGGGAGACATGTTTGAGGTGCATGGTGGGAGACATGTTTGAGATGCATGGTGGGAGACATGTTTGAGATGCATGGTGGGAGACATGTTTGAGATGCATGGTGGGAGACATGTTTGAGATGCATGGTGGGAGACATGTTTGAGATGCATGGTGGGGAGACATGTTTGAGATGCATTGTGGGAGACATGTTTGAGATGCATGGTGGGAGACATGTTTGAGATGCATTGTGGGGAGACATGTTTGAGATGCATGGTGGGAGACATGTTTGAGGTGCATGGTGGGAGACATGTTTGAGATGCATTGTGGGGAGACATGTTTGAGGTGCATTGTGGGGAGACATGTTTGAGATGCATGGTGGGAGACATGTTTGAGGTGCATGGTGGGAGACATGTTTGAGATGCATGTTGGGACACATGTTTGAGATGCATGGTGGGAGACATGTTTGAGGTGCATTGTGAGGAGACATGTTTGAGGTGCATTGTGGGGAGACATGTTTGAGATGCATTGTGGGAGACATGTTTGAGGTGCATGGTGGGAGACATGTTTGAGATGCATGGTGGGAGACATGTTTGAGGTGCATTGTGGGGAGACATGTTTGAGATGCATGGTGGGAGACATGTTTGAGATGCATGGTGGGAGACATGTTTGAGGTGCATGGTGGGGAGACATGTTTGAGATGCATGGTGGGAGACATGTTTGAGATGCATAGTGGGAGACATGTTTGAGGTGCATTGTGAGGAGACATGTTTGAGGTGCATGGTGGGGAGACATGTTTGAGATGCATGGTGGGAGACATGTTTGAGATGCATGGTGGGAGACATGTTTGAGGTGCATGGTGGGAGACATGTTTGAGATGCATTGTGGGAGACATGTTTGAGATGCATGGTGGGAGACATGTTTGAGGTGCATGGTGGGGAGACATGTTTGAGGTGCATGGTGGGAGACATGTTTGAGATGCATGGTGGGAGACATGTTTGAGATGCATTGTGGGGAGAC